GTCGCGGGGGGTGTTGCAAAATAGTAGCGCTTCCCTTGTTCCCTCATGGACGATGCTCCTTCCGCCCTTTTCCTTCGTCATTCGCGCGGGACAGGTACATGTTCGCCCTGTTCTGCGGCCTGGTTCCCCTGTCTTGGATCGACGCTCTCGTCCCCTCCCCTCCCTGGGAAGAATGCAAGACGGGCAAGAAGATAATCGAACGAAACAGGTCGCTCAAAGTGCGGTCTTCTGAGAACGCCGTGTCCTCTTCGGATGATGGCGATTTCCGAGCCGGACTTTCGACATTTCAAGCGGAAGTACAACGCCGCACTGGGTGACCCAGGCGGCTTCCATCCCCTGCGAACCACGCCAGCCTGGGAAATTACTGAGAGTACAAGTATTTTCGGGCCAGAGTCGTGGCGAACTGCTGTTTATCGGTGTGTTTGGTCGTCACTCCCCTTTGCCCTTCTTCGTCTTTTTCATTGTGATAAATACGTTTGCGTATTCTAGGCAAACTTTTGTAGAATGCCCCTGTTCACGTTGCCGCGGACCGGTGCAAGCTCTCTCGACGGTGTCGAATGGAACTAACCTACCTCGAGATCGACGTGGTTTCGACTGTATGTCCTGCAACCGCCAGGCCAGCCCCTGATATGGTAAAGCTTCACGCAATGCCTACCACCCGAGATAATTGCAAACGGTAAGCGGAAACAGAGCCTGCTATTTATTGGAGGTGAATGTAGCCGATGATATCGTGGCTGTGTCGGTTGGTTCGATGTTTGAAGGCACACGCCTCACGGATGGTGGCGTTCATGCTTTGTTTCACCCCGTGATTGACCAAGTTGGTAGATTGTCACCCCGTGATTTACCAAGCTTGTAGATTATGCTATTGGTTTGGGGGTACTGGAAGTGGTTGTACTGACGAAAGAGGGTTTGAGCCGCTGAAGCACACACTGGGTGCGGTAATCAAAACGAGATTGAGACAGAGAAACGTTGGGGGTGTGGGCACCATCCCGGCCGAAAACTTCGGAGAAACCTTTCGAGAGAGAGCAACGCGCGATGATGATGAACGCGTCCACACATCGTTATTGCTCGGACTTGAGTTGTACCTTAATATTCAGATGCGGTCTTGCTGTTGGGTGTACTCGTGATTTTGGGTGCAAGAACCCTCATCTAGAAAAGGTAGATAGTTCAGAGAGAGCTTCTTCTAAGCAGATTGTGCATGGAAATCGTGACCAGTGTTGAGTGGGAGCGTGGGAAATAGGAGCATTCTTTTGATGGGCAGCCGGGCCCAGAAATATAGAGGATATCTATCGGCCGAGCAACACGCTGTCATGATGGTGGCCTCAATACGTCGGAAATGCTCTGGCATGGTGTCCCCAATCGCCTCTGATGCGGTGGCGGATAGGATAGGATAGGTCTACTCTTGGGTTAGGAGTGCAGGAAGCGTCAATGTTGAAGACATTATGCTTGTGAAGCAGATTGTGTACGGCAATCAGACATTATGAGTGAGATGGGCGTGGGAAATATGGGCAATCTTTGATTGGCCACCAGGCCAACAATAGTAGGACAAGCTTCGCCAAGAGAGTGATCCGCGGTGAAAATAGGTGCGTGGTGATATGGTAGTGGTTGGAGAGGTATTCGTGGTGTTAGAATGAAAAAACAGCGCCATGGCCACTTTAAACAGCGCCATGGCCACGTTCGAAAGCGAGTGCGAAACCCTGCATAGTTCATCATTTAAGACGCGGCATATTCAGTCCGTGAAGAATCTGCATGCTGGGTTACTGATTTTCTTTGTAGACTCTGCAGGTGTCATTCTCCATTTTCCTTGTTCTCCCTCATGTCAAAGCCAACCCAAAGGCCGGCGCCTCAGGAGAAGAAACAAGAGCAACTTAGTTTGTCGATCTAGGCGGCTGGGAATGGTGATTGCGACGAAGGCTGAATTGGCTTTCTTTCGGCAAGCTTGGTGTCCTCAAGGACCCACGGCAAGGCTGCAGGAAAGGCGCCGCACGAGTGTAGCTTTCGGCGGGGATGCGCTATCAATGTAGCACGATATCGTAGGGCCATTGGTACGTCCGCAGTCTCGTTTCCGGTGCATTGGCTCATCGATCATTGCTTTTAACACGGCTTTTTTTTCGGCACGGCGGCGAATGCACGTACTTGTCTTGTGTCAGAGAATATAGATACGATTGTATGTTGCGAGGGGGGAACGTGGCGGCGCACACAGGACGGTTTGGTTGTGTGTGGAACTATGCTGGAAATGAGCTACCGTAGAGTAGAGAGAGGGTAAAATGGACCCGGCATCCTTTCATCCTACGATGACACCATATAGCCTGCATAGCATAGGAACCATCCTTCCTCCGCGAAATGCAGGAAGAATATTGTGGGGCTTTTTCTGGTTTTCTTTTCCCCCGAATGTTTGGCTGGTTTGGTGTTGTTTGCGATTTACTGTTCTTCTATTGCACCCTACTTTATTTTATTTACGTGATTTTCTCCATTGTGAACGCATGCATGTGATCGACGTCCACGATGATTTGTGTCTCGGTGTTGGTGTTCATTTCGCTCCCGCTTGGCACCATTTTTTTTCTCTTTTGGTTCTGGAATTGCGCATCCAGGTACATACAGCTCATCGGAATGAGTGAATGAATTCCACCTTGCAGGATTTGGGTGTGCACGGGAGTGTTGCAGGTGCCGGAACTGCTGTTCATTGGCAGAACGATTTCACAGGTAGTTTTCGAGAGATTGTGAACACTGTATGAAAAGTGCCGCACAAAAAGTCATTGCTTTTTCATTTCCTTCGACCAGATAGAGGAATGACATGGATCACCAGTTGGTAAATGTTTCCGGCCCTCGAAGCGCAGAACAAGGATAGAACCACGCCATTTCATTTCTCGCATGATGGTCATCCTGATGTTTCTCGTTTCTTTTCTTGTCCTTGTCCTTGTGTGTCGAGTTTAAGTGATAGGTTACGAATAAGGCATCTGCAGACATTTGCCTGACATGTTGCCTGGTGCGTCTGATGTTTAGGAGCCGATATTTTAGTCTGTTAAGGTATCACGTTGATGTTTACAGGATTCGATGGTTTCTCTTTTACGCTTAAATTGTGGCCAATTTCGGGGAGTCAGCCTGTGACAACGGGACCCTAACCGCGCGGGCTGGATCTCAACGCGAATGTTTGCAAGACTGCTGGAAGAAATCGGAACGGTTTCTCGCGTGAAGGCGTTTTCAAGTGGTTTGTGACCACGAAAACCTGTTTCTCTGTCTTCAAAGAATGGACGCGAGGATTGTAGGGACTACAGATTAGACGACTTAAAAAGAGAACACGAAAACAAGAACCATGGCAACAAAGTTGTGGCCGAGTTTCGGTGGTATTATAGCGGCAACCTACGTATCTGTGCCCAAAACTGGACTCCTACGCTTGCTCATCCTCTCTATTATTTCCAACACCTAACTATGGTTTGGTCTGGTCGGGAGGAGATGTCACCGCTTCAAAACTTGGCGCTTAAGGATTTTCAGCCGGGAACAAACCCATATACGAGAACGTTATCATCAGGAACAGGTGCTGATGAGGTTAGAGGTGGATTCTGCCCTCGCAGACAATGACGGATCCCCGATACAGCGACGGCTGCAAGACACGAACGCGGTGTTGTGTGGGTGGGCGTGGGGGTGCGAACATCGGGTGCTGGGTGCCTTATCCAAAGGTTAAGCTCAGGGCCAAAGGCTGACATCGACTTAGGCTGGGAAGGAGTTGGACGTGTGGTTCAGGCATTCGGAAAGAAACCTCAACAAGCTAGACATCAACGCGTCGACGGTGACTGTGGAGATATCACGCTATGGGTGGGGAAGCAATATAAAGTGGCCTGCGCAATGTGAAAAGCAGTTTCGCCCTCTCGAATCCTGTGGCATGGGCATGACAGCAGACGATTTAGGCGATGATCGAACCACGTTGGAGGTGTCGGACCGGCTGAATGCCTTAATGCGACGCTGACTCCTGTTCAGCGACATTGAGAGAGCGTAGGCGGTTGGTAGCGACGGATGAGGGGGGTTCGGTGACCAGGCCGCTGGGTGCGAAGAGACGGAGTTGGGGGATGGCGGGCAGGGTGCCAACAGCGGGGAGGGCGGCGACTCAAGCGACGAAGATATGACCGGAAGTCTTACTTATTTTCTATAATTGTGGCTGCTGGAACAGAGTCGTCGTTGCTTTCGTTCGCGTACTGGCTTCCAATCGAGTGGACTGCCTGGGGCAGTGAACTAGGGAATTGAGCCCATTGCCCAACTCGGAATCTGAGACGCAAACAATTTTTGGACGCAGTATTTTACAGGGTGTCCACATGACTAGAAATTGATTATGAGCTGGAGGTCTTCGACCCTACGCGTCCGACACCCAATTCTTTCTGAAACAATGAAAACGTTTGGTCGACACGGACCAGAATGAACCTCACAAAGCCAACGTCTTGGTTTCAGCTCACACCCAAGTCAAACCCACCCCGAACTCAAGGGGGCGACGAATAGATCTGCCTTCCCCCGGTAGTGCGAGGACACTCACTGTAGCCAGGGATGCACCGATCCACGTCAAGAAAAAAGCACAGCCAGGCCAGTAAGAGCCGAGGCAGCGAGCCCTCATCATGGCTACTACTTACTGTGCATCAGGCTGCTAATGTCGCCTGGCACGGCTTGCCAGGCCAGAACTGACACCTGGCATTTTTCGTATTTGACAACCCCGTGCATGTGCCAACATTCTCGCACCTTCAAGGCCGGTGCCCGCTATTGTCTTCGCAAGTGGTACAAGAAGAAACGGGTCCGACCGCTCATCATTATCGTACCCCGTACTCTGCCGCAGTCCTCCCTCGAGACTTCCGCGACGACATAAAGGCCTTCATCCACCACCACTCCATTGGCGTTTAACCATCTTCACCAAAGTACCATTGACTCCAGTTTAAGGCAGGAAACTACTGCATACGTTTTCTCCACTCGTCGATTCCTTTCTGTTGATTTCCGACATCAAGTGTTGCGCGGATTCTACACTAACCTACACCCTGCGACTGTGCTTCCGATATGCGTATGTATGCGAAGGGTGGTGTCACGCTAGTTGGAGCAGCAACCGAAATCGACTCCCGCCACTTGTGATTGTTTTCGTTCCGAACCCACACCATCCCGCCTCTCCCGTCGATGACACGCTTCATCTCGTCCCTCAAGTCTATGTAGCCATCACCATCCCGGGCGTTCTTCCGCCTCCTGGGTTCCTCGTTTCCCATGAAAACCTTCAGTGCTTCGTACGAGGCCCTCGTATCCCTTTGCAAATCTGCGCCGATGTTGTCCTCACCCGAAACAGCACGAAGCAGCGCCTCCTCGTCGAGAGTGCGGTCGACTAGCTCCTCGACCAACCCATCTTTCACGTCCTTCAGGAAATCCGAGATATCAACGTTCAGTCCTGTCGTTGCGTTCAGCGCCACCTTCGCGGTCACCATGGCCACCTGTACGAAGAGGGCGCACAAACGAAACCGACGACAAACAATATACCACAGCTCATGATCACTCGCATGTCAAGGCAGATAACCAAGCCACCTGGCCCCAATAGTTCACGCCTTGGAAATGTAAACCCGTGTTGCATTGCGAGAGGCGTCCATTTGGAATGCGACCTCCCCCAAAAACAGCAGGGTATCAGGAAGAGTGGAACTTCACCGTAGAACCTCACCCAAAAATAGTGTCACCGACTCCCACCGGTTTCTTACAATTCTTGTCTTACCTGCAGCACAGGCGATATTTTCTTCACCCATGTTGGGTGGCTTGGTGCGCCCGGCGCAGTTGTAGACGGCAAAAATAAAAGAACCGCGCGGCGAGTTTGCCGGCAACGATAAAATACAGTAAACTGCCCACGGGTGTGGTAACCCGTCGCATCTATGATGTTCCGGAGCGTGATAGCTCTGATGTGTTGACGCTGGTGCTGTGATAGCTGTTGTGATGGCGTGATAGCCTAGAGGCGTGAAAGCCTGGCAGCGTGATAGCTGGTGGATAGGTAGTATGGGCACGGGCGTGATAGCCCAGGGCGTGATAGCCCAGGGCGTGATAGCCGGGAAAAAAGAAGATGAATTAATCAAGGGCACGTGGCCAACACCGTTGCAGACACGCATACATACCCAGAAAACAAGAATATGTGGCAAAGATGGTACCACCATTCCCCCAATTTACTACAACTGCGGAACCCCAAAAATTCCCCGCCCCATCTTCTAGGAACATTCCTCGGTCGCAATAATCTGTCAATGCTGTGAGTACATCCAACAGCCCCCCTGCTCGCTGCATTGTCGAGATTATTCCCGAACTGGCTTATGTTATGCATCACACGAAACCCATCCCAAAAACTCCAGAAATCAATGTCATGGTTCAACAGTCGTTTCTCCTCCCATTCTCTTTCAACAACCATAAACCATTCAACCAGAGAGACTAGTTCGAACTTCCATTGGTCGAAAACGAACCAGAAACACCTACTAACTACCAGAATCTCCATCGGTCTCCATTGTATCCAGAATCTCCAAAGATAAAAACATTCACTAAAAACCATTAAACCAGAAACACTTGACTGGAATTCCCATCGGTTCCAAACCACTAAACCAGGGACACCACCAACAATTTCCATCGGTCGCTCATGAATTTCAAATTCCCAATATCAAATCATCCAAAACTCAAATCGTGGAAACAACTGCAATGGGTTATATCAGGAACAAATGAAAACAAACACAAATGCAAACACATCCAACACCGTCCGGGACAAATCACTTTCCGAGGATACTTCAAATCCACAAGTAGCACAAGAATCATGATTGCACAAAAATGCTCGACTCCACAACACCTCATCCTCATAACAACACGAAGACCATCAATAATGCAGACAAAAAAACGCTTCCGAGTATTTTCTTAATGCAGACAAAAAAACCCTTCCGAGTATTTTCTATCGGCCAATCTTGAATTCAATGTCCAACAAACACGATGAAATTACAAACCAGAATACCTCAGCAACATGGAACAACACCAAACCTGCCTCAGAAACAAAATCTCCTTGAAGCATGTGACATCGCTACGTGCCCTGCCTGCGTGGTTGACAGCGCGAGGTGCATTGGAGTCATGGAGTGCTACAAAGATAGGCCCCCCTTCCTCTTTCATTATTTTTCCTCAAACACAACCTCCGTTCAGTTTCCTAAAATACCTTTTTATTTTCTTCCTGCATACCCTACCCATACATTTCTGGCTACGGCCCCCCTTCTCCGAACACCAGACGTGAACGGATCAACCATCTACTCGATAAACGCATCTTGTGACATTTGGGTACTGGAAACAACACAAAAATCGCAATCTGCATTGTCAATTCCCGAACTCTGCAAATAGAACATCTAAAACAGACGAAACATTCCATTCTCCGAAACATTGTGGCAGTTAATTGTCATGACACACCAATTCCCCCCCCAATGACAATTGACAACAGCATCGAAGACATATCATTTTATAGAAATAGAGGGGTTACCCCTGGCCGATGGTACATGGAGAGGCGCGCCAAATACACATTAAAAGGAGGGGAAGCCGTGGGCGGTAGCTTGCTCCTAGAGATAGATGAAGGTAGGTTCTGTCGTTGACACGCTTGTCCACGATCACGATGAGATGAGAAAGTTGCTTGTTATTGCTGAGAGACGATCAGCAAGGGTCTGAGGTGAAGTGGGGATCCAACTTCACCTCAGGGGGTACGCAGACTAGACAAATCCTAAGAGGGTAGGTGTCTGAAGGGTATACCTCCTGGGACCGACCCACATCCTATCAACAATAAGATGTACCCTATTCAAGCTAGCAGCCACACTCCTTAACACTAGCCCACCCTGAATATCATATATGCAGATTCTATACTCAAATCAATGCTCAAATCCTAAAAGCTACAACGAAGATTTGAGCTGACGATTGATGCTCATGAATCGAAGATATGACTCTTCACAAAACATCCAAAAGGAGGGTGAGTTGTAGAAACATCCCGAATCAACCCCCACACCATCATTGAGACGAAAGATGGATGCGAATGGCCACGAGACAACACATCGACATCTCAATGACAACGCTCCTACCAATGAAGGGATAAGGCCAAGAAAAAATGTAGTGCTGCACCGCACGCTATCCGCAACAGACGACGGCAAGGGAAATAAAGTCCAAAATCTAAACGCCACACACCACTCTTTTACGCGCACCCGCGCGTATGACAATGGGAGGAATGAGGGCGACTACCCGAGAGAGTCCCAAAATACGACAACAAAACTCAAAACCCAAGCAAATTTCCGAACGAATACGGCCTTTGATACTGGACGCGACGTAAAGGGGAAAATATGAACGCAATCAATCTAGGAAAGCGTCAAGGAAGGGCAGGAAAAATGAACGACGACAGGCAGACCCACTGACAACAATTTCCAGCGATTCCGAGAACTCAAACCGTATAGAGAGGTGGCCACAGCAAGACCTAAAGAAAACCAAGAATGCAAAGCATGAATGATGAACGTCTGAGAAGCGATCTGACGAACTTGTCCTGGCTCACTGGCAACGCACAACACAGAAAGACTCAAACAACACAGAAAAGTCGCAGAGATACACACAACAACACAACGACTCAAGGGCTCGACGATGAGGAAGGCGTCGTCTGCAGGTAACGATGACGGAGACGAAGTAGAACGAAGTGTGGATGACGACGAATGTCCACGGGAGAAGACGACGCCACTGGATGGAAGCCCGAAGTAACAGGCCTAGACGACACTTCGGCGGCACGGTGGAGCTAAAAAAAAATGAGCTGGCAAAAGGCGAACCAAGGGAAACCCGAGAAACTCGGTGTTTGCCTGGTCAGAGGCGAACATACCGACGAAACTTGGGGAACTCTTTGTCCAAGTGTTCAGAGGCAAATAACACCGACGAAACTTGGGGAACTCTTTTTCCAAGTGTTCAGAGGCAAACAACACCGACGAAACTTGGGGAACTCGTTTTCCAAGTGTTCAGAGGCAAACCACACCGACGAAACTTGGGGAACTCTTTTTCCAAGTGTTCAGAGGCAAACCACACGGAGAAAACAAAAACAAAACAAAAAAAAGAACAACAAACAAACAAACAAACAAACAAACAAACAAGGTCCAAGATAGACCAACTCGAACCTCAAACGGCGACGCTAGGAAGAGATATTGGGAACAGCCGACGGTAAGGAGTCAGTAATGGGAGGAGTGCGATCCCGGGCGTCGCCCAAAGGGCGCGAGCGATGTTTTTCTAAACACCACGATCCACAGACGGCGTCCAAGGCGGTGGAGTAGAGGTGCGCCGGCAGAGGGAGAACGCTGGGGCCCGGGTCATCCAGAAATCGAACGATGTACGAGCCGTCCTGATGAGCACCAATACGTCCTGTCCACCATAATCCGTCGCGGGCCTTGTACCACAGCCGCGCTCCCACTGGAAGGGGCGAAATGCTGAAGCGACGGAGCCAAGTCGCGTGAAGCACAAGGTCAGCCCCAGGAGGCAAATAGCGTTCGCCACGATTCCGGGCTAGCTCCCGTTGTGCCGCGCGTGTCCGAGCCACTCGATACGTGCGGTTACCCTGCTTGCTTTGGCAGACCTCTCGAGACCAGTACAAGAGGATGTGTCGACGGAATTGATCGAGATCGGACTCCCGTTCCCAAGAAGGAGTAGTCAGGCCTAGCCAATGCGTCTGGTACAGGACGGCGAGAACGCCGCTACGGCCCCGCACCAATTGGTGTCCCGAAATGTAGTCGACCTCGAGGCGCCCGACAGGCGCCGACACATCATCCGCGGTGACGTGAAACGGTGGACATTTATCGCCGAAAGAGTGCAAGACATAACGCGAAAGCTCCGCGGGTAGAGATTGAGGCAGGTCGTCCGTCTCGTATGGGTTGCGACAGGGCTTGCAACGAAGGACAGATACGCGACATCGAGCAGCTGGGCCGGAAAGATCCGAAGGCAGGTCCAGGTAGAGGAGTTTACGCGCCAACGGGCTTCCATCTGGGGTGGCGTCGGCCGAAGCGCGACCCACCGCAAGAACTTTGTAAGGCCCCGTCCAGGAAAGCGCGAATTTGGCCTTGAGCACCTGTTGATCCGTGTCCTTCCGCACACCCTGTCGAATTGTAGCAGCCGTGTTGTAGACCCAAGCCCACCCGCCAACAGTAAATTGCGGGAGCTTGTGGATGGCGTCCAGCAGGGATGAATTACTGCGTTCGACTCGCGAGATCTTCAGGGCGTTGTACTCACGGACCAGGTCGTAGGCCCGGCGCTGGCGATCGACAGCCAAGTTGCAGTACTCGAGTTGGTCACGGGCTAAGCTTTGATGACCACCGACCGTTGGATGATCGAAGACCGAAAGCGGAAGCCGCGGAATGCGTCCGATATGGATCTCGTTCGGCGCCAATCCAGTCGACTGGTTCACGGAATTGTTGTAGGCAAATTCAACGTGCGGGAGATGTATGTCCCAATCGTTTTGCTGGTCGTTGACGACTACCGCAAGCATCTGAGCCATCGTGTGATTGACGCGTTCCGTGCCGCCGTTGGTTTGCGGGTGGTAGGAGCTGGTGGTGACTTTCTTGATTTTCATCATCTCATAGATCGCCATGGAGAGCTTCGAGCAAAAATGCAGTCCGTTGTCCGACAATAACGTAGTCGGACATCCCCACTTGGTCATGTACTGGTTGACGAAGATGTGAGCCGTCCCTTTCGCCGTAAATTCCGCCGCTGTAACCGCGAACATGTCGGCTCTCCGGCTGAAACGGTCTGTGAACAATAAAATGTAGGAGTTGCCCTTGGCAGTCACGGGCAGGGGTCCGAAGAAGTCGACGCCGACGACCGTACCAGGCCCCTGTGGCAATGGCATAGCGATGACGGGCCACCGAGCGGTTTGACGCGAAGTCTTGCGAGCTTGACACACCAAACACGCGCGAAGCCACCAGCGTACGGATCGATCCAGACCAATCCACCAGTAGAAACGCTCAAGCAGACGTTGTGTACGATGAACACCAAGATGGAAGGACGCGGTGGTATGGCAGGCATGAAGGACCCACGGGTGCATCAGCATGGGCACGTAGACACGGGGCACACCAGTATCCGGTAGACGAGTGGCCCTGCCGCCAGAGCGCCCGATCGGCGATGGCGCCGGTTTATGTACGAGGAGGGTGACGTTATCATCGGTCGTGTGCAGCCTGGTTTTCGCCGCCAACGCAAGGACATCGTCTAACCGAGGGGAGCGGAGCGGGGCACTAAGGGTGAGCAAGTCAGAAGGGGGTGGGGAGGGAGAGCCACGAGACAGAAAACGCATAGCCACCACGCATTCGCTCTCCCGCTGTTGTTCCCTAGCCCAGTCCACAGTGCCGAAGCTCTGAACGCAAGCTCGCAAATGTGAGGGGTCCAAGTCAGTCGGCTCCAACCCAGAGTCAAGCGATCCCACGGAAGAGGCTGTAGAACGAGGAGCCTCAACGACTGGTGAAGTTGCAGACAGCGGTGTCACCCTAGGAGGAGGCATCGGGAGGGGCGAAGTCCCAGGCGAAACCTGGATAGAGGGCAAAACCGAGGATGCAGCGCGCGCCGATGCCGGCGAAGGCACCTGTGGCGCAGAGGCAGTCGACGAAAACGCCGACGTTGGCGTCGCAGATGACGGCAGGGGACGCGTGCCGGTCTGGATGGTCTTGTTTGTCGAGCGGGACCTGCTAGGACGACGGGCAGTGGACGATGCCCGAGGGACGATGGTAGCCCGCGGCTGGCGTCCGAAATAGGTGGGACCGGTGACGGTGCCTCCAGAAGCAGCGGCGGTCTTGGCCCGAGTTCGTGAAGAAATGAGCGGTCCCCGCTCCGGAAGCGAAGACAGGACGTGCACATATCTATTCGCCAAAGACGCGGCCGGAGACATTCCGCGGGACGTAGCCGGAGCCAAACAGGAAACAGGCACCGGAGACGCGGAAACATGTGAGACCACGAAGACTCCCGAAGACCTCCGAGAATCTTGATAATCAATCGGTGAGTCCGATCGAACATCCAGCAGGCGCGGGTGATGACGGCGAAAATCCCCAAAATCGGATGGCTGTAGCGCTGGGGGTGAAAAGACTCCTGCGGAGCAGGGAGGGCGGAGCCCACCCAAACCGACCTCCGGCGTAGACGACGAGTGATAGTTGAGTCCACAAGCCCGAATGAGGAAGACACCAGCGTGATCGACACCATCAATGCAATCGGGGCCGGTTGTGTCCGTGTCTTGTGCTGGTAAAGGCAGCCGCGAAAGGAAATCCGCGTTGCCGTTTGCCGAACCTTTCCGATATTTCAGGGTGTAGGTGAAGTTGGACAGGAATTCGAGCCATCGTTGTACCCTGGCGTTGTGTTCTCCAACCTTGCCAATGCTCTCTAAGGCTTTGTGATCTGAATAGATGATGAACTTGGTTGACCACAAATAGCCCCGAAGACGCTTAATGGCCCAAACAATGCCACCAGCTTCCAGATCCAGAACAGTCCAGTTCCGCTCCGCCGGAAGAGTAGCGCGGCTGATGTACACAATGGGTCTTACCGAGCCATCGAGTTGTTCTTGTTCCAGGGAGGCTCCAAATCCGTCAATGCACGCGTCGGAGCACAAACGGAGAGGACGGCTGTTGTCCTCGACCGCAGCCCAATCCGGGAAGACCAAAATCGGGGGACGCGCGAGTTCGCTCAACAACGTTTTGACAACCTTGACCATGCCCGGGGTGTACTTGAAGGGGACGCCTTGTTTGAGAAGAGAGTTGAGAGGCCGCACCTTGGTGGCGAGATTCTGAAGGAATTTCCGGTAGTAGCTGAGGCCACCGAGGAGGCTCCGAAGCTGCTTAACATTCGTCGGCGGCGGCATGTGCGTGAGCGCCCTAACCTTGACGCCATCAGGGCTAACCCCAGCCGGGGAGATGGTGTGACCGAGGAAATTGGCGTGGGTTGCGCCGACACGAGCCTTTCCTGGAGACAGCTTGAGGTTGTACTGGCGCAGCCTTTTGAAAAACTCGATCATATTGAGTACGTGTCCCAGAGGTTCCTCATCGAAACAGATAACATCATCCAGATAGGCAAGCACACGCTCCAGACCGTGCACCACTCTGTTGATGACCTTGACGAACCAAGACGGGCTGGCGTTGGCTCCTTGCGGCATCCGAAGCCATTCGAACAACTGCGTGGGAGTGCAAAAGGCGGTGAGCGGGACAGTGTCTTCGTCACAAACGATCTGGTGGAAGGCCGAATTGAGATCGAAGATGGAGAACACTTTCCCGGTGTAGAGAGAATCCAAGATACCGTCCACCCGAGGGAGAGGTTGTCCATCCAAGTCCACCAGGGCGTTGAGTCGTTTGTAGTTGACGGTGATGCGAACCGATCCGTCCTTCTTGGGGATGACGACCAGGGGAGAAGCCCAGGGAGAAGTGGAATGCTGAATGAGCCCTGCCGCCAAATACTGATCCAAAACGGCATCCACTTTCTTCTGCATTAACGGGTTAATACGATACGGGCGCGATGCGACGGGCTTCGTCCCGGCGGGGACAGAAAGAGCGAATGGCATGACGGTGCAAGAACCAAAATCGGTTTTCGAAGTAGAGAACACGTCGGAATACTCAACAAGGGCGTCGGCAAAACGATCAATAGCCTCCGGTGTCCATCCCGGGTTGTGAAGATCGAAAGCGATGTCGTGCATATGTGCGGGCAGCCTAGCCCACAATCGCAGAAAACTGGAGCGCTGGGCCTCGGAGAAGCGGTCAAGCAGTTCTTGTGGAGGCGGCTTCGGAGGAGGCGGGGCGGAGGCTGGGTCCGGAGAGCGGCGAGTCCCGGACTTGGGGCCAACGGCGTTGACCCGATGCGGTGATGTAGAGGATGGGGGGGCGGTGGGAGTCGAAGAAGGAGCCGCCTTCAGAGTTTCTACCGGTACTCGTAATAGCGGTGCAGCAGACACGCCAAGAACGTCGCCCGGCTCCAATTCGGCACAACCTGCAAGGGGAATACGCTGAAGACCATTGGAAACAAATGCATCGGGGGACGAAAGTGCACCCACTTCAGGTCGGAACGATACGAGATATTCGCCGATCAGCGCAGGCATGCCCGAAGAACGGACGAGGTCCTCCTCAACAAGGGCCGGCTCCGGCCCCAAGGAAATGCCCGAGCTCCCTGCATATTCGAGGTGAAACGAAGAGGCAGGAGCGTCGTCGTGCGTAGCGTAAACACACGCGCCAGCGGTGAAACGTGGAGAGAGCGTGAGCTCGCCCATAACCCGGCCGTCCGGTCCAGGGTGGGGGAGGGTGGTGAACACTCGAGAGTTGAACCGCATCCAGCTATCGCGACCCAGAAGCACGGCGTGCCCCATGGCGGCATCTGGAACAACGCAGGCCCAGACCGCCAACGAAGCGGTAGCTCGAGCTCCATGAAGAAAATTAACGTTGAGACGAACTGACCGAGTGGTCACAAGGGCGGGTCCATCACCAAACCCACCCCAACGACGAGAGGGAGAAACACGAACGCTGCCAGCTGTCAAGGCTTCAGCAGCTATCATGGCGGTGACCACGGAGTCGGACACAAAAGACGCAGGAGATCCAGAGTCCAGCAGCGCCACTCGCGCGAGTTGAGAAGTGGCTGTAGGTCCTCCATGCAGCAGAACCCGGGTGGTGTAAGAGTCCGAGTCCAACAGGAGCGTGCCGCCGACCAGATCGGGCCCGTGTTCCAGAAGAGGAGGTTGGTCTGCACAAGCGGAGGTCGAGGCCACCAGATGAACACCAGGAGCATGGTCCCCCGGAGCGTCCAAATGGAGACAGGCTGGGTCTTCACCCCGGTCCTCCCGTGACGACGAACCTGCCGCGGTAGCAACCTCGTGGATGCGTCTACGGCCCTGTGGAGGAGGCTGCGAAATGGGAGGTGCGGGAGAAGTGGAGGCGGGGAGAGCTTCGCCAGACAGGGGACGATCACGCAAAAGGCGCCGAACTTCCATCAAAGCTTTTCCCAACAAGTTTTTACCGCTAGACGCCCACTTGGATGAAACGCTAGCCTCCGGAAAGCATGCAGACATGCCGATACCCCAAACGCGATCGAAGGGGCTGGCTTCCGCAAGGAGGCGGGTACCCGTCTCCAGTAAATGTTGTTTCATGTCGTGGTTTTGAGCGAATTTGGCATACGACCCCGTAAGCACGATCTCTTCTCGACGACGCTCCCATTCAGCATAGTCAAAAGGACGTACGTTACGACCCAAGTACTTGTGTGTCTTAGGATCTGGTGCAGCCATGATTTTGTCATACGACGTCATATCCCCAAACAACTTCGCTTTTTCAGACATCAGAAATTGCTCACCACATGAATAACGTACCCCCAGTACGTCAAAAGCCGAGGGAGTCTATTGCGAGAACACAGACGGAGGTTTCCAGAAGAGGAGGACGTCATCCGAAACGTACTCGCATTTGTCATCAAACGGCGGAGCCGGTGCAGGGCGCAGAGGCAAAGAGCGGGCACCAGGCACGGGCGGGGGTGGGCCAAGCGGACGGGTCCTCATCTCCGACGGGGAGGACCCAGAAAGCGAGGGAGGAGCGGGCGAAGTCGCTCCGGTCCATGATCCGGAGGGCGGCCTACGGGCGGCGGCTCCGGCGAGGTCAATGTTAGCAGAGGCCATTCGGCTATTAGAGACCTGTTCGTTAGGAGAAGTCTTTCCTGCGGCAGACGGATATGTGTGAATGGACGCAGGGCGCTCTGGACTACTCCCCCGTGACAAAGGAGCCGAACCTTCCACAGAACGGTGGGCACTACCATCCGATCCCGATGGCAGTGGTGCAGTCAGCACGTTGTGGGCAGCAGAGGAAGACGCATTCGTATCAGGTGCTGCCACACGGGGGCAGCGGACGGTCGAAGACAACGAAAGCTGCGAGAGAGAAGGAGAATCGACGGGGTCCCCGACGAGTGTAGAAGAAGGCTCGTGTGCTATCCGAGAAGAGGCCCGGCTGACAACACCAGGAGAGTCTTGGCGAACAGTAGTAGACGAGGTTCTTGTTCCTTCTGTAACCCGAGACAGCGAGGTGAGCAGGGGTGAACCACTCGACGTCTGACCTCCCTGTCGCCCACACCACAAAGGTTGTGCCGGAGTGGGGTTGTCATGTCCAATACCAGCAGACGATGAGGTGGGTGACGAGGAGGCGGGCCGAGAAACTAGATGTGATTTGGGGGCGTGGGGAGTATCCAAAGAAGTAGGCTGTACACGAACATCCTGGGAAACTCCAAAAGGGTGCACGGTGGTTGCTAGTGACGGCAGTACCGGCTGAACTCCGCCATCGGCATGTCATTTCTTACCCTTCCAGCCCCTCTTAGCCGAAGTGGAAGCCTCCGATGAGGATTCTGTGTGCGAGGACTGTTTCATGTCCGATGTGTCAGATGAACGGCGGGCGCGTCCCGAGGAGTGAGCACGGGGTGGGTTGCGTCCTGTAGGTCGTCTATACGAGGTCATGCGCTTTTTCCACCGACTCCAAAGTGCGGGATCTTTTTCCATGCAGAGCTTGATGTCATTGTTAAGCAGGCCTGTGGCGTTAATGAACCCACGAGTACAGGATTTGAAGGAGTGGTCTTCCCCTAAGCAGTTGAGGCACTTGCCCTTGTACAGCCGAAGCGCGTTGCGACGGTCTTCAGCCGAGACCAAGGGGGTGGTGAACAATGGCGGATCATTCTTGGTTAGAGCCATCTCACTAGCGACGTTGTATACCTCTGGAAAGTGTCCTTGCAGCGGCCAGTCGCTGTAGTGCAACAGAAAAGGGTCTCGATCATCATAAGGTAGAGGGTCAACACTCATCACCGCAGCCGAAGAACCTGGACTCCACGAAGGGGTCACCGACGACCGCAACGCCGAAGAAGCTACAGCACGCGAAACAGCAGACGAACTCCGAGCATTCGTGGAAGACACCGAAAAAAAATCGTCACCATGTACCGCCGGCGTGTGCGCGAATGCACGCTTGCCAACACATCCCACATATCGTCCAAACACGAAGCATGTCGCCCAAAAGGGGCTTCCATGGAGAGCTGCTCACCCTTGTACACCTGTCCAGACACTACGGGAAACTGCTTCAACATGGAGTCGCGAACAGCTATCTGCACTTGTGCATCCGAAGGCTTGAACGCGTGATGAGAAACCATGACAGTCATGGCCAGAGCCTTATAGCGACGAATATATTCTCCGTACGTCTCGCCGGTGGACACGCCAAAACTACGAAGGCGATCGATCCCCGAGCTCTTGTCTTGAGTGTCCCAGGCGGCCGCCAATTTCTGGATGAAGAACGCGTACGTCGAGGGCCCGGCCGGTTCCTTGCGCAGATGGTTTTCTACCTGTTGGAAAGTGGCATCAAGAAATTCCAGCGTGGCACGGTTGGTGGTTTGACCTTCAACGACAGCAGCACGAACACGTTTGCGCAACAACGGAAGCCATCCTGCGACCCAGGTGGAGGAAGCGAAAGTCTGCTTGCGTTTGACGTCGCTTTTGTTGAGGATCTCGGTGACCACGCCCTTGCAGCTAGACGCGAAACGAGCAAATTCATCAGGATCAGAAC